ATATATCCCATATATAATATTAAAATATATATATCCTTTATATTCCCCACCGTAGCACTACTACTTTAATGAACTGACGCAGCAGAATATGAGATACTGATATCAGTCAGCTCCCTTCTTTGTAGGCTTTGGTTAGGGATTAAAATTTTTGTATACAGGTTTATGCCATTAACATTGTTCAGACAACTCATTAAAATCCCAAAAGAGCCTTTCCACAGAATTCCATGGATTCAAGTTCAGTGGATTTGTTGGATTAGATCCAATTTGCTTCATGTGCAAGTCCTCAAAACCTGTATGTGTTGTTAGCTTCCCATTTATTGGCAATGGGAATCCAGACACAGGTGATGTACATGCCAGCACATTTACCTGTTACCACAAAGTGTTGTAGTTTGTACTCTCTTTTCATTAATATTTGCAGTTATTTGATGTCTCCACTAAATAACAAAGCTATGCTGAGAAAATTAGTCATAACACAAGGAAAGAATAATTTATGTATTATTTGTAGCCATTACCATTAGCAAGAAATGCTAATAGTGTTCTAAAAATATTTTATTTTAGTATTCATTACTATCAGAAATGAGTCCAAATAAACAAGAAGATACCTGAATCTCAATATAATTTGAGTATTGGTGTGGAAGGATAAGATGTATTACTTGATTTAATGGCAGATTAATTTGGAAGCATATTCTGAGCTTCTTCTTAATGGACTGTGCACCAAATTGACTTTTTTCTCCGATTTGTGGTTTTTTTCTGTCTGTTCATATGGAAACATATTAGGATGGGAGACATATCACTGTCCACCTTTTAATTCAGGGCACAAGGCACCTACTAGAAATTTGACAGATGGAAGATAGTAAGTGACATGTTGTACCTCCACTTTTTTTGGGTCCTGTGCATGTGGAGAGATATTGTTTCAAACAAAATAAAGTCTGCACATCGAATAGTTCTTGTGTCCAAGGCTGGAATACCTAAAGTTTGAAATTCCTCATTTGAACAGGAAAAATGTGGTGTAAGGCTTATACTGCCGAGTTCCATGCCAGGATAATTTAGTACCTATGACATGCTGGAGGAAATCTGAGAAGAAACTGGAGAAAAGTGCCAAGATTACACTTTGTGGTTCTGTAGAGCTTGTTGGGGAGTGCTAACAGAGATCTGCTAAGAGCACTACACAAGCATGGTGTGCTCTTCTGCAGTAGTGACTGCCTGCTACTGCATCCTCGCCAGAGCATCAGAGATCATGGCAGCCTCGGAGTTTTGCTTGATTTCAAAATGGAAAGAGCATAAAAATGAGGAGGCTTGACTAAAGAGGAAGTAAATAGGAGATGTCTCTGCAGGTGATACAGAGACTGTGTAAAAATGTTATACGGTAGCTATGACATCTTCATCTATTAGAAAGATGAAAAAAGTTTGGTGTAATTAAATATCAGGGAAGAGAAGCTGTTAAAAGGCATCCTTCAAAAACCTGCAGTTGTGCACATGTCAGGAAGGTAGAAAAAGAATATAAACTTTGGGACATTGAAGGCTGAAAAAGTGAGCTGGCCCTGGAGTTTGGGTACTTTCATCAGGCACAGAAAATGTCCAGACAAAAGGCTTGGGGATATAAGGCTGGTAGAGGAAGCTGAGAAAGGTTGTTCAGAAAGTATAAGGCTAGAACAAGAAACCTGAATTAATGTTTTGAATTAGAAAAGCCTGGGGAGGTCCCACACTGGAACCTTCTTTATAGAGGATGTATTGGGGATAAATTAGTGGTGATAATAATTACTGGAATAAAATCAGTGATAATTTTGTGTCAGGTTACCAAAATAGCTTAACATCTGTTCAAGACTGAAACAATAACTCAAATTATAGGCTTCATATGATAGTTCAGCTTATTTTTAAATAGCCTCAGTAACAGAGAGACTTAGAGGATTACTGTGACTTTAAGAAGATACTAGTTTTTAGGGGTAAAACTTGGAACATATACGCTAACAATTAGTAATTTGTACCTGACAAACTAGCAGAAACCGTAGTAGAAACATGAGAATCTGCGGAAGAGCTGGCATAGCTTTTGCAGAGGAAAACTGTGACTCAGGCATCTGTCAGAGTTCTCTGGAGATTCAAGAGGCACTTGGACTTGCTAAAGTTACTGTGGAAGGGCCCTTATGGAGGGCTCTTAAGGAAATTAAGTTGCCATGGGTGAAAAGTGTAGGTCTTGGGGTAGCTGAAGAGCTAGAAGATAGGTCTCAGGTTTTAAGTTCTAAAGAGAACCAGCTTGTCTGGCAGATAGATTCACATCAGTCTGATTTCATGTTTGATACATACATCTGTCATTACTGAAAATAAATTGCTTACTTTGTTTACCAACCTGAACTTTGTTCAAAAACAGCTTATGTAAATTTGAAGGGAAGAAGATATAACATATCAGAAAAGTGATTTGGGATTCTTAATTTTAATGATGTCATATAACTAGCTCTTTTTGATTGATACTGTGGGCTTTTTTCCCTCCCACCAATATCAAACCAACCGCTGTCAGCTCTTGCCTTCCTCTTCTAACAGTTATTTGTCTTGGCTGTAAGTTCTGTGGCAGAAAAAGGTTATCTTTCATTGCTTGGCTTAGTATGTCCTGGATTTTGTGTGGCTGCCTGATGTGGGAGTGTCATAAATACAATGCAAAAGTGGAAACAACCTCCCTTATTCCACAGTCCATTAATGCTAATAGTTTTCAATTCACTCCATCTTTTTTTCCTAGTGTAATGCTAAAGAATTTGTAGAATCACTCACTTCTGCAATACTGCCTCTTTGGAAAAAATAGACTAGTGAAAGGCACTTAGTTTTGAGCAATCTGAGATCTTAAGGTCCTTTCCAACACTAACTATTCCATGATTCTATGATTCTATCTGCATTCTGGGATTGAAATACAAAATAGAGATGATAAATGTTCTTTCATGGTGAGTACAGTGCAGGGTTTTGCCAAAAGGATTCTTAATTCAATAACTTTTAAAGCGTCTTTAAAAATTTTCAAGGGATTTACTAAGTTACATGTGAACTCCCCCTGCCTCCCAAATCTATCAGCATATGGCTTTAGGTGCTGTCTGGTAAGACAAGCCAAACTCTTCTCTTGATGTCAGTCATGTTGCCATCTGGCAGGAATTGATTGTAACTCCCTTCCTTTTCATTACCTTTGCATTTCTACCAGTTCACCAACTTCAACACATTTTTGCCTCTACCTGTTAGTGGAGCATGCCTTGCCTGTCATCCTTGCCCTCTTTAGTCCCAAGTTATTGTCAGTACAAGATGCATAAAAAAGCAGTAAAGCTCTGCTCTTAGTGTGAGGCTTTGATTCACGATCTTTGACTAACAGTAGGTGGCTTTTAAGAATTTTTGTATGTTCTTTTTTTTAAGAGTCATGGCAAATCCTAGGCAGTGCAGTTTTCCTTGGCTTGTCCAAAAGACTGTTATGCTAGGATGTGATATGTCACCTGGCTGAGGTTAAGAGTGTGTATGTGAGCAGTGAGGAGAGCTCAGCTGATGTGCACTACCTTGCTCTGTGTGAGTGGTGTCATTTTGTGGACTCAGTCCATGGAGATATTTAGAAACCTCCAGCCATGGTTCTAAGAATGCAGCTCTAGGTGGCCCTGCTTCAGCAGGGGGATTGGACAAGATAGCTTCTAGAGGTCTTTCCATCCTCAAGCCGCTCTGTGATTCTGTGTCTGTCCTCAGGCCCAGTTCAGGCTGAAATGTTCACATATATATATACACAGTAAAGCTAAACCAATTGTTAGTGTTGTATCAACAACCTAAATGGTACCATCCTTGCTTCATAAGAATTTCTCTTTTATAAGCTTTTCTTACATTCATGTCTACCTATGTTTTTACCTCCCTCTTCTTTATGAACAGCATGTAGTTAAGCATATGTTACACTTTGATTGGTTCAGTCAGTCTATATTGCAATTGTATCTAGAAAGGAGGCCCCATTTTTTGGAGGAGATAGCTAGAAGGGCAAGAGTGATTCCTATCAACAAGCTACTGGGTTTTTGTGGGGGTTTTTTTGTTTGGTTTGGATTTTTTTATTCTGTTTTTATCAGTTGTGTTCTTAAAGTGTAATTTTTTATGTTTACATGTATCATTATGTATTTTCTTTCAGTTTATCAAGAAGTTTTACAATGAAACTTGGGAAAGAAGATATGGCTTCTCAGTGGATGAAAGCACACTGACTCTCCTCTGGTCCATAACTGTTTCTATTTTTGCCATTGGTGGCCTTGTTGGTGCCATTATTGTTACCCCAATTGTGAAGTTCTTTGGACGGTAAGTGCATCGGAAAACTTGTACTTTTAAAACCGATTTCTCATTTATTCTCTCTGGAAGGCTTTACTTTTATTTCTTTCTAAAAACCCTACTCACCAGATTGCAAATTTAAACATATTCAAATTATGAAAGCTCATTCCTAAGGAGTTTCAAATTTCCAAGAGTAAAATTAGTACCTTTCTCGCTGGCCTTCATGTGCATCATTTGAGAAGCCATTTGCTCTGAACAGGCAGTGGGTTGAGATGTCAAGGAGGTCGCATCAAGGAGGTGCAAAAGGAAAATACCATGAAAAAGGAAAGATTTCACACAGGATTGGCAGATTGTTGTTTCGCAAGTCTGGTGGGACTCTTACTGTACACAAATAAAGCTATCAACATGTCTCATTTGCTTCTCAACAAACATTTGAAGAACTAAATTAGGATGAAGTTTTTGTTTGGTCTTCTGAAAGCCTGGGAGTGCCTTCCCTGCTCTATGCAATGCACTATTTGACCAAGTCTTGACCATAGGAAACATGAGTATTTTAGCAATTTTTCTGCTGGTGTATGTTTGCATTTTTGCTGCAGGTATTGACAAGATATATCTGTCATTTCTTTTTTGTTGTTTTTTCATATAGTCTTTCAAAGAGAATTTAAAAGTTGTATTTTGGCATTTTTTGTTTGGTTGGTTGGTTGGGGTTTTTTTGTTTGTTTGTTTTTGAAAGCCATTATAACATCCATCTTAACCGATCATTTGGCTCTTCCTTGATTGTAAATTCTACATAATTTGATATTTTTTGCTCAGTTAAATCACTGGAGAATATCACCATGGAGGCTTAAATATAAGAATCCACCTCCACTGTTCTTACTTTCCTGTTCTATGTTTCGACTATTTCCATCACTTTCAGTAGTACTCTACTAGGCCTGTTTGCTGTTCTCCCAACTATTCCATTTCCTATTTTTCATCTCAGAGTATGTTTTTAGGTTCTTCCATTTCATACTTACAGTAAGTCAGTGTTCTCTGCTCTATAAATCTATTATCCATGCTTCATTAATTTATTCTGCCCCTTCATTTCATCATTTGATTTTCAATTCTTAAGTATTTTTCATAGTCACATTATTATTTTTAGATTTGCAACTTCTTCTGCCAAATCATCAATTTGCCTTTTACACATTTATTAAATATATGAAACTATGCCTGACTCAGACTGATTAATTCCAGGAATTATCACTGAGTCTTTATTAAAAAGTGAAAAATGGCTTCAGAGATGGCTTGAATTTTTGGTGAAGAGTAGAACAGCTTTGTGTGCTGGTTTGTTAAAGTGGCAACTGATCTCAGTCATATATATACCACTTTGATTGAAGCAGATCATATTTCTAGGGCACCTAGGGTGCGAAAACACCTCTCGTGGATATGGTGTATGAGTACTTGATTATGTCTCAGGGACACTGGATAGACGATGCTCTTTGAAGTGTGGTTCTTGAGTTTTGGTGTTCACAGCACAGTGTGTTTGTCTGGTCTAGGAAACCAGACTGACGTATCTGTACCATAATAGAGGAGCACATTATGAAATGTTGATAGAACAATAAAATACTTTGCTGTTAAATTGTTCAAGTGTAGTTTGGAGGCTTGTATGTGTGATGAAGCTGATCTCAATTTACACTGACACAGAATAATGAACTAAGGGGGATCAAAAATATTAGTCAGAAATAATGTATGACTTTAAAAAGAGCACTCTTGAATTGTGTTGCTGTGAAGTTAATAACATAATTTCCAAATTACTTGGTTCCTAGGCCCTACTTACTTCAAAAGAGATGGAATTTTTCCAAAGAGAGCCTTCATCCACATAAGCATAAGTTCCATGTTCAGATGTGTCTTTTACACTTCATAATTTAAATTTTCTTCTTCTACCAAAGAGCAGCTGCTGTTATGTACCCTGAATATCCAGAGTGTTATGTACAGTGAATTGCTCAGGCCACTGCTAGGGAGGCATTTGCAGGAGAGGGACAAGGCCTTCCTTCAAGCACAGTGAACCATTTTGAGTATGAAGCAATTAAGGGAATTTCATAGAATTATAGAATGGTTTGGGCTGGAAAGGACCTTCAGATCATCTAGTTCCAACCCCCCTGCCATGGGCAAGGACACTTTGCACTAGACCATGTCGCCCAAGGCTCTGTCCAACCTGGCCTTGAACGCTGCCAGGGATGAAGCATTCACAATTTCCTTGGGCAACCTGTTCCACTGCCTCACCACCCTCACTGTGAAGAACTTCTTCCTTTTATCTAATTTAAACTTCTTCTGTTGAAGTTTGAAGCCATTACCCCTTGTCCTACCACTACAGTCCCTAATGAAGAGTCCCTCCCCAGCATCCTTGTAGGCCCCCTTCAGATACTGGAAGGCTGCTATAAGGTCTCCACGCAGCCTTCTCTTTTCCAGGCTGAACAGCCCCAACTTTCTCAGCCTATCTTCATACGGGAGGTGCTCCAGTCCTCTTATCATCCTCATCGCCCTCCTCTGGACTTGCTCCAGCAGCTCCATGTCCTTTTTATGTTGAGGACACCAGAACTGGACACAGTACTCCAAGTGAGGTCTCATGAGAGAAGAGGGTCAGGATCACCTCCTTCGACCTGCTAGTCACACTTCTTTTGATGCAGCCCAGGATACAGTTGGCTTTCTGGGCTGCAAGCGCACACTGCCTGCTTATGTTAAGCTTCTCATCAACCAACACATCTCTTCATTATCCTGAAGTCATCTACTTGTGGTCTTTAATCTGTTACTGGTTTTATTTAAACACCTAGTTTAAAGAACACACAGCTTGTTATTTATATACAAGTTTCCTTACTATACTTTTTGATTAAGGATGCATATTTTCTCCCAAGTGGAGCTTCTAAATTCTTTCTTATTATTGAATTTTGAGACATCAGTGCATTTCTGATGAAACCTTAATTCTGTCATTTTCCTAGTTGCAAGTTTTAGACAAAAAGATTATTAATTCAAATCCATAATTGAAGTTATTGTAGCCGTGGAGGGCACATAGTCACTAGGATTCCGTTCTGGCCTCTGGAACTATCCAATATAATGAGAGCAAATGACTACCTTGAAATCACAAGAGATTAATAATATGTGACTTTGCAAAAAGCCAGGGACAATTCTGAGAAACAGATTAATAAGTGTTTTCAATATTGAAAATACCTAAAAAAGAAAAAGGCAGAATAAAATCATTAAAGCTTAGCTCTATTCGTGTCTAGCTGATGGATGATCTGTGCATCTCAGGTGGGATGCTCATAGAAACTGATTACTACTGAGCAAATGGCTCTTCTCTTAGGACTAGTTCAGGCTCAGCTTGGGGGATTTAACTTAATTTATTGCCAGTTAGCTTAACTATTTTATTATTGAGCTGGTACTTGAAAACAGGACACCTTTCCTTCCACTATCCGAGGCTGAACATCAGTCCAGCCTCCTCTCCTCTCTTTTGGTACACTGGCAGGTCATACGCAAGTCTTTTTGATGAGAGAACGGGCAGTGCAGGGGGTGGGGATCAGTGTGTAGCAACTTCTCTTTGCTGCTGCTTGCTTCTCACTTTCCTCCTATGCTCCAGCATAGGTCCTCCATGGGCCACAGTCATTTGCCATTCTGAAGCACCTTCTTTCCCACTGACCTTGTTACTCACTCATTCCATCTCCTAACAGAAGCCACCCCTGCAGCCCCTTCACTTTCAAAACCTTGTCACAGACACTCTAAAACACTCTAAACCGTCTTTTTTTATTTTCTTCTTTTCATTTTTATTCAATCTGACAAATACAAAACCCTTCGGTTTAATCTTGGTTAGTTAGGCTGTGCTTTTCTGTTCTTTGCTGCATAGCATAAGGGGTCACTGGTCAATTTTTTCTAAAAAGATATATATTTTGTAGTTTTTATTTAAATTAGAGGAAAGTATCTCTTCAGATGAACATATAGCACTTTTTTTGACCTGAATGAATATTTTGTTTCCATTTTTGGCATTACTTACGTCACTTCAACACTCAAATTATATCCATTTGAAAAATCTGTTTAAAATGGTAAAATCACCACTCTTGACATCTATGTTGTATAAACATATACTTTAAATGAGGTGTATCTTATTTTTTGATTCTCAAACTGTTACTTATTCAGTGTTCAAAAATCACTAGAAAGCAGGAAAAGTAATTAGAAATACAAGTATTAAAAATATCTCCTATTAAAAAATGCATTGATCTGCTGTGTGAAGTTGGGTGACTTGTTCAGTGGGTGGGAGATTTCCAGTTGCTATCTAAGTGTTGAACTGGAGAAGAATGAGGACTGCTAGGTTGGTTTGTTGCCTGCACTGGTAAAGTGTAGACAGCCTTTCTGGACACTCCTTTTGCATGGAAATTATACCATACAGAGATTGAAAATCAATTGAGAATACTCAAGAATTTAATACCACTTCAGTTTTTTAATAAAATTGGTGTATTGTGCCTGTGTAATTTACTGCCAAAGTTAATGGATTCCTCATAATTTACATCGTCAATGGTGTTTATCTCGAGGTAAATTGGTTTTTAAATCAGTTGTTTATTTCGTACGTTGTTGTGAGTGGGATTGGAGGCTTTAGTACTGAGTTGTACCTCTAGAGCCAAAACAAGACTGTGCTTAATTATGTGTCTGCAAAACCTGGTGGAGGCAAAACTGCATTGCTTTACCGCATATAGACAACTGAGGTGACTCAGAGATGGAAACATAAGGTATAATCATTCTCTTGCCACATAATTAGGGAAATCATGGTGGTTTGTACTTAGATCATAAGCAATGCAAAGCAGCCATCTCATTGTGGTGTGTTGTACAGAGGTCACCATATCTCCAGTAGATCGCCCTGGGACTATGGATATCTGAGAATCATAAGAAACTTTTCAGTTGCTCACAAGGCTGAACCTGATGATAAACAGCTTCTCCAGCCATTCACCTGCAGGCTGTACTTTAGCAAAAAGCCACTTAAATCCATATCTGTGGAGAGATGTGCACAAAGTAGCAGTGATTGTCGGAGTTCTGGGTGGGTTTTCTACTTAAATCTTTCAATAGAGAATCATTGCAGCAGAGCTGTTGATTTTATATCCTTAACCACTGTTCTTCTATGTGTTCAGGAATGAGACCTTGGATGTCAGTGTTTGAATCTGACTGTCAAAGGCCCAAGAAATCCTACATAAAATTTCTTTTGTAAGGTATTTCCTCTGCAGAAGTTGAGACTTATGAGTCACTTTTGAATTAATGAGTCCCCCAAACTTGAGCAGAAAGTTCTGAGAAATGAAAACTATAAGAAATACAGCTGTTAGTATAGTGCAAATGAGAAATGGAGATGTTTTTGAAATTTTTAAAATACATTTCTGTGGGTTGTTCTTTTGGTTTTTGGTTGTTTGGTTTTTTTTTTTTTTACAAAGGAATAATTTCCATTAAAAAGATTTCTTTTCTTTGAAAGAAATATTTTTTTTTCAGGTGTTGACTGCTATAGAATCATAGAATCATAGAATAGTTAAGGTTGGAAAGGACCTTAAGATCATAGAATGAAATAACTTAAAAATTGGGGAAAAATTGTAAATCTATATTTTGATCAATTTCAACAATTTTTGGAAAAGGGTTGATTTCTGTGACTTATGTGAGCCTGAGTGTTTTTTCTATCTGTACAATTAGTAAGTAATTTTCCTCAACATATGTTTTTAATATCATGGATTTAAGGATGAATTACAATAGCATAAACATGTCAGTGTTGGGAAGTTCTCAAAATGGCAAAAATTGTATGTAGCATAAAACCACCTGTGGTTATATCAGCTTATTGCTATTTGAAGTATTCTCTAGTTCTTACATACATACATTTACCCAGAGTACATTTGTTTGTATTCATATATGGAGACTTAAGCATGACACTTGAATTCTTACGATGTGTAGGATGGGTAATTGCTGTGCCTTTGAAGTACGTATCTACATAAAATATCTTTTCCTTTTAGGAAATGTACGTTGCTGCTCAACAATGTGTTTGCAGTGACAGCCGCATTGTTGATGTCCCTCTCCTTGTTGGCAGGGTCATTTGAAATGCTCATACTGGGCCGTGTTATAATGGGTGTTGATGCAGGTAAGCTTTTAACACCCTAAACGTATCTGAAATGCTTGCACTATGCATAATCTTTCTCCTCTCCCCCAGTTAGATCTTTCTTTACATTAAAGAGGCATTTCATGGACTAGCCACACTGATTTTACTGAGACAAAACAGGAGACAAGGATTGGAGGATCTGATGTTTGGACAAGACACTGGAACAGATTCTAGCTGCTGCTGTCCACCCCTGTCCTCCTCCAGCTGTGGTAGAGCATATTTGTCTTCATGCCAAGAAAATCCTTTGGCTAGGAGCGTGTAGTCTATTTTTTAATGCTGCTTGCTGCTTTGTGTTTAGAAGTCATTGGATCCCATGCTAATATCAGTAGGATTAAGTGGAAGGTTTGTTACATCGTTTGCTCCTAGCAACATGGTCTTCCCATGCACACACTGCTGCATCAGAATAGTCTTGCAGATAGCAGTGAAGGTCTCAGCAAGTTCAGCAGATCTCAGCAGATTGCTAAATGGTGAGAAATTTTTACCTAATGTGGAGACAGCCTTGATGAATTGAGATTGTTCTACACTCTCAGTGTAATTATGTGATTCTAAACAATGGAAAGTACTTTGAGTTTTGCATCACCAAGCCCCCTTTTCGGCAAGTTTTGACTGTGTTGTCAGTAAACACAAACTATGATAGTTTGAAAGTGGATGTGTCTGTCACTTGCAATGTGAAGTTCATGGATAATTTTGGTGCTGAATACTAATTTTTGTCTCAGATTACCACCAAAGGACCAAACTTCTGGAGCTGTGTAAATATTATCAGTGCACCAACCAGGGTCATGCATTTGTTTTCCCCTGGCTTTGAGCAGCATTCTCGTCCTTATTTTATGTCTGTTGTTGAGAACTCATCACAGTTGCAAGCCTCTATTGAGAGGAACATCTGCTAATAACATTTTCAGTAAAAATACTTCACCTGACAGTGTCTGCTCTCTCTGCCTGATGCATTGTTGTTTTTATTTTCCTTACCTACACCAGCGCTGAAGTGGTTTTGCTTGTTTTGGGATGAGCGAATTTAAAACATAAAATCCATTCTCCTGGTGATTCTCATTTCCAAGTAACCTTTGGTGCTTCTCATCAAATAACAGCCTACGCACATCACTGTAGATCTGCAACAGATAATCAATCCCATGGTTATTAAATTGTGCAAGAGTAATTAGACATGCAGAGAAGATAATTCACACTGTCTGTGGACAGATAAAATTCTGTTCTTTGCATATTTTTATGCTGCTTTTGTGAGCAGATTAGCACTTGAACTCCTTTCAGCAGCTGTTTGTTTTGTACCTGGCATAATGAAAAGGTGATTTGACTTAATACATGTTTTTTTCCTTCCTTCATAGGCATTTCTCTGAGTGCTCTTCCCATGTATTTGAGTGAAATATCTCCTAAGGAAATCCGTGGTTCATTGGGTCAGGTCACAGCAATTTTCATCTGTATTGGTGTTTTCACTGGTCAAGTTTTGGGGCTGCCAGAAGTATTTGGGCAAGTACGTATTTAACAGATGTTTTCTGTGAAAGAACATAAGCATGCTTAAAATGTTATATTGTCATATTTTGGCTGAGTTCCATACAAAAGTGGAAAACAGAAAAATTGGAGTTTTGTTCTGAAGGACTTTGAAAAGTGGTTTCTTCTAAAAGCTTGTACGTATGACTGAGTTTGGTTGATGTGGCAACCAGTTTTAACAGGCTGAGTAGCTTGTGTGTATTCATATGCACGTTTACTCCACACCCCCCACTTTCTTGATGTACATTTATTTTTACTGGTTTCCAGTTTCTTTGAGTACCATGGAAGTACTTAAGAGTTTTTGCAGTTTCCATTTGTGACTTTTCAATGTGAGATAGAACTGAAAAATGCTTGGTTAGAGTTTGTATGAGGACCTGAAAAGGAAGACGCTTGCTCAACGATCATAGTGTTCCTTATAATGCACTACTAATTTTAGACTAGGAGGTAGAAAAGCAGAGTTAATATATACTTTTACAGAGATTATCTATTCTGATTAAGAGCCTTGCTGTCATAGGTTGAGATTAACTTGGTGGCCACTGGATGTCATCATTACTCTAAATAAATAAAGTCAAGGTTTGTTCAGGCTGGCACTTGCAAATAATTTTCACCCAAAGATGAATCATCAAGGTGGTGTGGAGGAAGCATCTGCATCAATCCTCTCACAATGAAACCCAAACTAAGAATCCCTTCTGACAGTCACTGAAAGTAGCAAAGAGTTGAAAAGTGAGGAGAGCTTGTCTTCCTGTGTCCATCCAAATTCAACTCCTTTGTAAATACATGATATCATCCTTCCTGACACTTTCATTTTTGTCTGACTGGCTCATATTCTGTCCCTTTACCCTTGGGCTCACTTATTCTGTTCAGCTCTCATGAAGGCAAATGGTTTGATTCCATTTGCTCTTTACTGAAGCACAGTTTACTCCCCACCCCCAAACCAACAGATTTTAGGAAAAGGCTTAAAACTGCTTTCACTGACCTTCATTGTGTAGCTTCTATGGATGTCCTGTTTCCTTGCTTGGAAAACTGGTCTGTTACAAACAAGGGAACTAAATGTCAAGAGGCTGATTTGACTGCTTAGAATATATGTCAGCCCTTGTGTATCAGGTTTTTGGGGGTTTTGTTGGCTTTTAAAGGTGAGATATCATGAAAATTCTTATTTTCCCGTAGGTCTTTGAGATATTTTGCATGGGGAATACTTATTCTTTTGTCTCAGCTCATTCTTGCTTGTTTTATTCCTCTCCTCCCCTTCCCTTCCTCCCAACTGTTGTCACTGCCAAAATATGGAGGTTGCTATTCTACTTCTACAATCTGCTTTAGTATGTAGTTAATTAATATTACACTGTTAAAGATAGCCATTAGTTTACATAAGAGCTACACTTCGTCTGTAGAATTAGTTCTTTTCAGGATGGCTAATATCACATCAGCATGTCAAAGGAGAAAAGTTTTGTCTGGTGTGAATTAGCGTATTTCCAGCAAAATTATTGGAGCCAGTTTGAATTTTCCAGGTGGGTATGTAAGTGTATTTTCCATTTAATATATTAATAAAATTTAGCACTGAGGGGATACCTCAGGCTGTTTGAAATGTGATTCCCTTGTGCAGTCTTATCACTCTTCGAAGGCTATATTGAAATTTCTGTTGGTTTCAGTCAAGCCAGGATCTTCTTCCCTAGCTTTGTCTGGTTCTCATTGAAGTCAGTGGAAGGTTTGCACCAGGAACAGCAGCCACTGCCAGGGGACATTTCTGCAGAGGATATGTGTGATAATTGCACTTCTGTTGAAGCTGGAAGGTGGCAAAAATGGTGTCCTTCGCCTGAGTTCTTTAGTTCTTCCAACACTTTCCCCTCTCTCTTCCCCAGCAAATACTTTGCTCAAATTTCTGTCACTTTGTTTGATCAAGTTCAAGAGGAGGCTCAAGACATTTGCAGGCTATTTTCTAGTTGCAGGCTTCTCTCTGTTTTCATGGCTTCTGTTCACTAATGATCTAAAAGCTTCTTATAATTCCCATGTTATTTTTTCTCCCTTCTGTTGGAAAAATCTTTGTTGCATTTGAGGTGAGGCCAGTATTCCAGATCCACAGCCACCATATTTTGGAGACAGCTATGCGTGTTGTGTTACCGATTTCAGCTATAACTGGAAAGCAAACTCTTGCTTTCCTCAGAAGCCTGAAGTCACTTGCATTAAACTTAAGCCATTCTCTAATATGCCAATGTATGGTATAATTCTACCTTTGTAAAATTCATAAATCATTTAAAGCAAATAGACAGGAAAGTTGTGATCAGTAGGAGCTTGTTGCCATTGATCATTATTCTGCACAACTGCTTGCACTAGGATGTGGAAGACACCTTTGTTAAGTGTGTCTAACAATGTTCAGCCTTTTCATGATCATGGCATAAAACCTCACAGATTATTATTTTGTTACTCTGTGGCTGGCTGGTTGTCTCTATGAGAATTTGTTGTAGATAATACTGGGTACATATCTTCTCCCATGGTTTCATAACAATTTCCTCCTGAGCTCTGTCATGTGCCTATTACTTGTATCTAAGAGGTTATTAACTGTAGTGTCTAAGCAGTGATGGTTTTGCAGAAAGGAGGGGTAAAGACCATGTTGGGCATCTTGCTGGAAGAGGCTTTTTGGAACAGGAATGGACATGGGGAGGGCTGCAGACATGGCTGAGGTCCTGTCTTATAAAAGGAGGTGACAGCAACATTGCTCGTGTGGCCAAGTAAATACAGGGAAGAGAGAGGAACTGAATTCACCATCTTAACACAAGAAATAAGAATTATAGAAGGAACACAGTGGCTTAATCTCAAGGACAATATTGCTTCAAGGATAACATTTTATAAATGTTCTGTAAATAATTGCATGCTGAAATTCAGCAGAGTGATGTTTGGAACAGATTCCTGGCTGAAGTAGCTTGAGCAGAAAATTTAACTTTTAAATTGAAGCTTGATGCATTTATCTGGATTATATGAGGTTGTTGCATTCAGTGGTTCTGTGGAAGTCTCACCACAGAAAAGGAAAGTGTTTACATTGGCTGTTGGGCATAGCCTTGCAAGCATCTATTAACAAGCTAATTAATGACTTCCTCCAGTATGGAATGCAACAGTGTTCCTTTAAACAGTCAAGTGTGTTAAAAATAGCTCCAAAGCACTGAGTGTTACTTAAGGCAATTCAGAAAGTCCTTACTGCTTTTTGTGTCAAGTAGCTTAAGCAGCCCCAAAGTGATTTTTTAGCAATCTTTTACTTATGAAGGCCAGCCCAGGTGAAGCAGGAGGAATGTGAGCAGCCCCAGGTTCGGTGCTGAGGGGCAGTGCTCAGCTTTGGCTGTGTTACTGTCTCAAGGCTGTTTGGCCGTCTCGTGTTCCTTCAGCCTTCCCAAGCTTTCTACTGGAAGTGCTGAGGGTTGACAGTCTTCTCATTTCATTCTAATATATTTTTCATGCCAGTTTTGCCAATTTACTCTCATTGTTCTTTTGGTTAACTGTTATTTATTCCTTAATATCTTGGAGGTTTTTTCCCCACATACTGTCGGGGTGCTTCCTTTCTCCTGCCCCCATCACTTGTGATATTTGTGTTTAAGGTTAGACTTCATCTCCTGTGGTAAAACAAACTCTTTAACCTCTTTCTTGTCCTGTTATCTTTCTCTGTAATAATTCTGGGTTTAAAATTGAACCCATAAGAACAAAATTACGTAGATAACCCAGATGAAATTATAATTTTAAAAATAGAATTTTATGAAATACTTATTTCCTGTTTTTTCCAGAAATGTTTTGGCCGAAACATTACAGAAATGCATTTAATTATTTTTTCCTGTGTCATGTCATATTGACACAAACAGAGAAGATTACTACATTCAATTTTAAAATTACAGACAAATTACGAAGTATGAAAGAGCAGAGGAAAAAAATTGAATGACTGTAAAGCCCAAATAAAGGCATTCTTTTAGATTCTGAATATATAGTCTTTTATTCTATTTGTCTCCAAATGTACTAATTTTAGAGTATTGAGTCTGAAGAAGGTGTTCCGTTATCATGCTATGGTTACTAAGAGTGATTATCCGAAGGAGAAAAGTGGCAGTCATGACAATGGTCCTCTGCTGCTGTGGTTTCATATTCTTACTTTCTTTCCTCTGTCTTAATTCCCTCTCATCCAACAAATCCTAACACTAGTGGGTTTTTTTTTCCAAGATTCCGATTCTTGTAGGACATACTCTATTGGAAACCACATCTACTGTGTCTCCATTTAGGTTTGGGAAATTGCACAGTGGTAAAGCTGGCTGGTGATCAGACTATACAGCATGACTTTATGTACTGGTACCCTGCTGCTCTCCAGCATGCTGGCTGCTGAAAGTACTGTGCTCATTTCATGTACTAGCTGCTTGGTTTAGTCTGCTGTAAGCCAGAGCCCTTAATTCTTCTGGAAGCCATGGCAGCTGTAGATGACAACTTGGTGCTGGCCCACAGGTATGCAGTGATGTTATCTGCTGTAACATGGGCACTGAATTATTGTTACTTGCTACAGGATGATTTCATTTGGGGCATTTTTTGCTGTATAGCATGTGCAGCTTTCCATACATCTGACTGAAGGAAAAAACAGATATTAAGATAAGGAGGAATGGTTTTAAACTCATCACTTCTGCAAACAGAAAAAACCTTCAGGTGTTTCCATTCTCTCTGTTTCTGTGATTCTGCAATTTAATCACCCATCCCATCTTTCTGACAGATTTCTCCCTGCAAAGCAAAGGTCAGTTCATTGTCAACTTCAGTTTTGAAAGTTCAAAGTTATGCTTAGTGTCTTGGCAGATTTATTGTCTGGCCTCATTCTGGCATATTCCATGTATTATAGAATAGAATCATAGAATACCCTTAGGTATCTCTTTGTAACTAACTCGCCTAGTTCCTCCTATACATAATGTCTGGCTCCAAAGGTTTTCCTTAGGGTAGTAATGTTTTCTACATGTTGTAGACCACCAGGCTACCTGT